GTTCCCATTGCTCTGCATGCTGTGAAGAAATGTTATATTACTGGTGACAATGGTCTTTTCCAAAGAAGTTTCAAAGGTGGTTATGATGATACTTTAACCTAACTAACCCAACTCAGGTATTCAGTAAAGATCTCGCCCCTTCCTCACCTACCTAATCATTTCTCCATAGATCTCTCCAGTTGCCCTTCGCCCACGAGTCGTCTCTACAACTTAACTGAACCCAAATGAACAGCTATGGAGAAATATTTCACTCACTCTCTTACTTCCAGTATAATCCGCCCCTTTCCTCTCCTATTGCTGATGTTTTTTCTTTGTTGAAAAGTGACAAAGATAGATTTCTATGGCCTCAACAAAATCACAATAAAGAAAAACTCCTAAACACCTCTAAACTCCTACAGGGGCATGTCATACGTGTGAAGTGTGAGGGTTGTGATGCCCCAAACGCAGAGGCTTTGAGGCAGTGTAAATTTAATCAAAGACAAGCCGTTTAGAAGGCTGACACAAAAAATGAAAAAATGAAAAAAAATTGAAAACGAACCTATGAGGAGGGAGCAATGGACCGAGAGACACGAGGGAAATGTCCTCATGTAAGGTTTTGGGTTTTTTTTGTTTTTTAAATGATGTGTCCCTTTTTATACACTGAATATTTTTATTAATCATACAAAGACTATAATATAATTATTTAGGATTACAGAACAGAACAAGATAATTATCAGAACAATCTTATAGAAGACCGTGATAACACTACTGCCATATTTTATAGATATATATGTTCTGACAACTGTAGTTCCTTCATGTTCCTATGATTTTGAAAGCAATCACATGAATCCAGTTTGTAAGTAATGGACTTACTTTTTCGGGGTAGTATTTGTCTTCAATACTGAACTTTGGAATAATCGAAACAGCCACGTGAACATGTAGCACCACATGAGGCACAGCAGGGAAGAATGGACCTTTTTAAACATCATTTTGATATCTTAGTTCTTTTAATCAGGACACAGTGTTTTTCTGTGCTGATGCTGTGTTCGTGTCTTCAGCGTGCTGAAATATTTATGTTCCTCCCGTGGGGGGCGCTCTTGAGTCACACAGAGAAAAAGTGAGTGAGAGGAGTTTTGTCAGACTGAGAAATGACCAGTGTTGGGACTAACGCGTTATTAAGTAACTCGTTACAGTAACTACGTTATTATTGTGGTAACGAGCACGGTAACTAGTTATTATGCCAAAA